CGAACCGAACACTGATTTTGGTAATAAAATTCAATGATTTGCAAGCGTTGCTCGTTAGTAAGTCTATTCATGATGAAATGTCAAAGCATACTGAGCATCTTTCTCTTTGACACCATGTCTGAAATCCCACGTGATCTGTCAAATACTAATGCATGAAAATCCTAACCTCAAAAAAATCACCCGTTACTTTGGAACATTAATAACGCTTAACACTTGGCATTTACTTTAGAAATCTAAACATCTTTGTTTGATAAAACTGTATTTCATTTCTTAAAAGCAGTGTTTAAAAAATTGTAACGCTAAAATGACACATACAAATTGCATATATTTGTATAATTAAAATAGTATTGATTAAATTTGTATAATTCTACTTACAAATACTAAAATTTTATGTAATATATATCTATATAATAAAAATGTCTAAAATATGGAAACAATTTTTAAATTATTAAATTTACCAAAAAAATTTGCTCATAAAGCAAGACCTACAAATTAGTTATATGTAGTAAATGAATACTTAATGCAAGTCTTACTAACTTTACTCTTACTAACTTTTCGATTTTTTTTTTGCTTCATTAATTGCTGTCATTAAGCTAGTAACTAGTACAAGTAATTTAAAATGTCTTGATTTCATTTGAGGGTAAGTCTACAACTAACAGCAATTTAAATTGGATTCTTCATGTATGACTAGATTTTGTAATTTTTTTCTTATACAGGGTATACACAAGAACGCGAAAAATAGTTGATACTGTGGTTTCGTTTGTTAATCAATGAAATAAATTGTACACAACTAATATGGATTTAGAACCCTGAACTTTAACATTGATAACCACAAACAATAGTGTTTATAATTGTTTTGCTTAAAGTGTTTGCGCGCACCCTATATAACGCTCTAAAATAACACCATTAATTTTTGCAAGACTACAAAATGAAAAGAGCAGATATTCAATCTTTTATGTGGCATTTTCCGTATATATCGTCCTCGCATTTTACAAATTAATGTGCCCATCACGCATCACCCAAATTCCACAGTTTCTTCACATTCATGATATGCTTTCACCATAAAGCAGGAAACTAAAGCCTTTACATCACATCTCGCAGAACACAAACTCATCACATCATCGCAATCAACTTAGCAGCTTTCATTTGCGCTTTATAAAATTTCCTTCGGCGTCCAGCCAACTACGCCAACTCGGCAATTCATCATCTGCCACTTCGTCTTCAGTACCATTGTAACTGTTTGCTCTCGCCGCCGCCCGTGTTTCCCGCTTCAATAATATTTACCTATGCAGCGCATTTGTTATCTGCTTCAATGACTGTCCCACTTCGCTCACCAGCCGCTCGTTGTCTTGCACATTTTTGCTGCCGGCTGTGCGTAAACTCTGCGATTGCGTTTCGACACGTGTCACCAACTCACGAAAATGAAATTTCGAGTGTGGCGGCATAGATTCGTTGTCGGCGAAAACTACACAATTATTTTGCAGTATATTGAGTTTGTCGCTCAGCTGCAGCCATTGTGAGGCGGAAATCGAATTCACCGGGTGTTGATGCAATGAACTCTCGAGGAGCGCTACCAGTTCGAGTATGCTTTCGCGTGAGATCTGCGTGGAACTCTGTAGCGCGCTACTGAGTGGTGAATTAGTTGAGCTATCTAATGCGCTGGCGGCGATCTTCTGCGAAATGGGCGTAGCATAGATGGTCAACTTGGTGGGCTTGAGTGGTACGGCGGGCTTATTCGTAGTTGAAATGTTATTTGAAGTATTATTCACAGCCGTGTTTGTCGAGATGGTTGATGTGGTGAGTTTATTGTTTTGTTGGTGTAGGCAACTGCCGCTGTTGGCGGTGCTGCTATGCTCTACGAAAAGTGATTGGGTCATTGAAGCGATTTCGTTGTTAGTCGTTGTATTGTTTCCTGATGAATTAGCGGTGGTGTTGTTGGTGGTGGTTGCTGAAGTGCATTGGCCTTGTTCGGCGTACTGATTACTATCTGTGAATAGTTGAGTCGAAAGAGAGGTTGTTAGTTGGGATTTCGTGCAATGGGAATTGTTGAAAATGGAATTTTGATTTTGATTGGCTGTGCTGTTGGTAGTAGGGGGTGGCGGTGGTGGTGCTGCCGGTGGTGGCTTATTTGCAATGGAATTTGTGCCAGCCGTGGTGGCGACATTGGTACGTGGTGAAATTTGAGTGCTAAGTGATGGAAAACGATTTGAATTTGCAGTGGGCGTGGTTGCAGTATTCGAAATGGGCTTCAAATTGAATTTGGGTGAAAGTTGATTAGTGCTTGAGGTGATGGTGGTGCTGGTGACGTTGGAAGTCGTGCCTGCCATGCCGCTATTTGTTGCGCAGTTCGCCTGGGATTGGGTGCTTGCATAATCAGAGCTGCCACCCGGCTGCTCCCACAACTTTTTCAAACTACTTATACTACCTGTGCTGCGTCGTTTCCCTGTCTCGGTTTCAACTACGCCCACTGAGTTATCTGCCGACTCAGAAATACCTGTGGTGTTGTTGCAGTTCAAATTTGAGTTTGCGTTTGCGTGGTGAGTATTGCCATTCGTGTTGGAAGTTGAGTGAGTAGTATTCGTGGAATTTACGGAATTACCATTATTGCTATTGGTCATATCATTTTTTGCATTTTCAGTCTTTTGTGTTGCTGGCGTTACAGCGGTCGCCGATGTCATTACTGTGGTGAATTTCTTGTCACCTTTGCGACCCAACGTACCCGTTGCGGTCACAGCTTGTCCTTTTTGTAATAAACTTTTAGGCGCTTCATCTGCGCCTACGTCTTTTTTATCCTTTGGATCTTTTTCAACTTTTCGCAAATGAGCTTTGAAGTCGATGATCGTCGTCTGGTTTTCGGTCTTTTGTGTGGGTGTTGGTAATTTTTTTGGTTCTACTTTTTTTAGCTGTGCCTTAAAGGAGTTCGTATTGCCATTCTCCTGTGCTTGTGGACCGCTTGAATCGCCAGCACAACCACCACTGAGAGTTTTTGGTGGTGGTGGTGGTATTGACTTTTGCTTTGACAAATTCATTTCGGCCAACTCGGTGAACAATAAGGATACGGGATCAACACCACTACCAGCTGGTGCTGTACCCGTGGTGCCATTTTGTATATTCGCATTGTTAGCGGAACTCTCTTTGGAACGATCTTTTATCTCTGCCATCAATTTCTCCTTCATATTGAACTCCTGAACTTCCGGTGGTGATCCCAACGAACTGCACGAGTCTGTCGACGGCTCACGTTTTCGCAGCGATACCCCGAAGCGCGAACTGGCCTCCTCAACACTGGGTGCAGTATTCGAGACATCATTGCTGCTGCTATTCGGCAATGGATAGTGCGTGGTAGTTGCGCTGCTTGCAGCCTGTACTTCTTCCAACACTTCAGGTGCTGGTGGTGGTGGCGGCGGTGGTGTTTCGAATTCCTCCGGTGGCGGTGGCAAATCCAGTGGTGGCGGTGGAAACTCCAAATTGGCTAATGCTGGCTGTTGACTGCGCTTTGGTGAATTGCTGGAGGATGCGCCCCGAAATGAGGAAAACGTCATCATTGTGCCATCGGCAGCTGTGCGATGACGCTGCAGTTTATTCAAGCTCGCTGATGCGCTGTTCTGCATAGTGACGCCACTCGAAGAATTGCTGCGTATCATCTGCTGTGGTGGTGTCGGTATAGTTCCACTGCCACTGCTGCCATTTCCAGAATTAATGTTTGCTGCTGATTTTGTTGGCGGCGTCGGTATTGGCATCACATGCGCCGGTGGAAGTTGCTGACGTGCGGCAGCATGCACACCACCAACACCATGCCCGTTTGTGGTGACCGGCGCGGCGACTGCATTTAGATGAGTAGTGATGCTGTGTTGTGGTGGCGTATTCGGATCCTCGAGACTGTTGAGGAATGCACCTATGCGCTGTACCTTGGGCAAAGTGCCATAGCGATTGACAACGCACTTTACATTCTTCACCTCAAGCGCGCCAACGGTGACGTGATGTGGTGTACAAGCGCCAGCACTGCTATCGCGTGGCGCATGTTGTTGCTGCTGCTGTTGATGCTGTGAGCGTTTACTTTGACGAGTTTCGAGGCCACGGTTGCCCATAACGGGTGTGGGTCGTTTGAAGGAGCTATGTTGTTGGCCGGAACGTGGTCCAATTCCACCGCTATGGAGCGAATGCTGTACCTTGCTTTGGGTGGGTATATTTTGGCACTCCAAACTATCGCCGGTAGCATCAGTGTCAGGATCACCAGTTGTATTGTCGTTTTCGGAATCATAGCGCTGTCCAAGATTATTAATATCACGCGTAAGACCTACACGTGGAAGTTGGAGGTGAGAAAATAAACAAAGAGAAGTAACTGTTGTTAGTCAAATGAGCAAGCTAGCAATTTTTGAAAGTATGCAAAGAAGAGCAATGCGTAGTTAGTGGTGGATGCATTGTTGGGGCGGCATTAGCAGTAAATATGAAGAGGTCCATCAACCAGGCAGTAAGATTATTGAAATGGAAGTGGAAATGAATATGGAAGGCATAAAGCAAATTAATCAAAGTTACATACATACATACATACATATGTATTCATGTACATATTGATGCGCATTTATACAGGGTGATCAGGAAAGTAAGAAAAATAGCTTGTGCACTCACTTCAAGACTCACAAGGTACGTACGAGGTCCAATCCAAAAGGTAACTTGCATGCGTGTGATTTGTTTGCTAATTTTTCTTTTATTCAGATACACCTTGAAGTGAGAAGCTACCTTATGACTTAAATACAATACCTTCGTTGCAACCCTGTATAATTTACACAGTTATTAATTATAAATATATCTTTAAATTATTAGTAAGAAAGTAACAATGTTAATTACAAAATTATTGAAAAAGGAAACGAAAGTTTGTAACATTTGGTAAGTAAAATATATCACAAAATAGGGCCAAACAACAAAATAGGTGAGTCAACAGCTACAAGAAACTAATATTAATTAGTCTTAAAGTTAAAGGAAATAAATTTCCCTAAAGAGGGAAGCAAGTAGTGTGTAAATTCGGGCGAAACCGAACTTGATATACCCAGCGCACTTATGCACAGAAAAAAAGTAATCATTATGATTTTTATATATTTTTTTAATTACAGTGACCAAACAAATTTTCTGTTCTTAATTCTTACTCTTGGTGTGGAGCATTGAGTGACGGCAAAAAGAAGATGTTCAACTGATTTGCTACACAAAAGTGTATTAAAAACTATCTCCTAGGTTTAGTTGTGCGCACAGATTTCCATGGCAACGCTAGCTATATGAGACCGAAATAGTGAGCTTTAGAGAGACACATTTTATCTATTTGAATTTTGGTAAAAAAATCCTAAGGGACATTAAAAGCCCTCACATATAGGACGAAATACCACGTGACGTGGCCCTTAAAGTATGCGAGAGAAAAATTCTGCGGAAGTTTTACGGACCGCTCCGCGTTGGCGAAGGCCTCCTTTTCGGTGGAGAAGGACTTGGCATTTAAGATTGGTTGCAATTAGCATAGGAGAGAAGAACCGACGTGCCCCATTAGACTATTGAAAGAAGAAACCGAAGTCCATTATATGGTTACTATCAGATTTTTCACATTATCGATATCATAGAACTTTGGACGAAAACCAATATAAACCTTTGTGTTTAACGTTCATACAGATGGACAGACGAATGAGTGTGCACAATTGCGCTGTGGTATATGTACGTCCAAATCACATATTCATTACTCAAATAAAAATATAGTCAACTTACTACAAATACGAACCAATAAACCAAAAGTAATATTAAAGCATTGAAAATGAAATTGAACAATTAACAAATGAACGAAAAAATCGAAACAAAGAAAAATGGTTTAATAATCTTACTCAGGTGTGAAATACCTCGAAAAAGTATATCGATTAGGAAACTACTGCAAGAGGATGATTTCTTTATAGAATATTGGGGAGGAGGTGGTGTAGTACACAAAGTATAAGAATTCGTTTTGCAACGTTTATTAGTGTTATTGGTTGGGGTAGTACTGGGTTGAACAACAACATTATATGGTTGTGGTTGTATTGGAGTTTGCTTTTGCAGTTGTTTTTGTAGTTGTTGTTGTAGGTTGAAAAAGATGCTACTACCATTTGTATTGTGCTCGTCAATGAGATTACGTGACTCATCATCACGATAAGTAGAATCGCGGCTGGTGGAAAGTAGGCTGCAAATAAAACAAAAATAAACAAAGATATAAGGACATCACTGCAGGCTCATATACCTCGTACGCTTAGGAGGCGCAGGCGCCTGTTTGCCTTGCTTGTTGGTGGTGCGGCGCATTTGCACATTTCCTTTACCTTGGCTGGAAAAAGTGCTCAATTTTGTCGATGTAGAACCGGTTTCTGAATAAAAAAAAAGGTGTTATTAAAAATTAATGGAAATTCAAATTGCCCTGTAAATATATTCATTTCTGGCTATTCAAATCTTCTATTGCAATACTTACCCGACATTGGAGTGCCTGCTGGTGGCTGTTCTAGCATGCCGCCGCTTGGTGTTAAACTGCCTCCGCCAGCGCCGCCGCCGCCGCCGCCGCTACTGCTGCCGCCACCACCAACACCACCACCTCCGCCGCCTGCACCATTCACTGGTATACCCTTTTTACCCATTTGCGGCGTTAGACTCTGTGTCATCGTTGTGGCATTCAATTGTTTTGCGACAGCCTCAGTAATCGATGATTCCTGCAGATCGAAGAAAACGAGACGTGGTCGTCCGTTATTATTATTGTTCTTACAACGTATTTTCATGTGCATATCTATTTTATCATCATCATTGTGATTTTCATGACTTATTTTATATTTATGAGGCTCTACCAAGACAGCGTCTCTTATCGTATCGGTCACAGTGGTTAGCAACATGCCGCTGCTTACAGCCACCACTTCAGTTGCATTGGCACATTTGCGCCCAAGATTGCCGTTACGATCACATCAAAGTTCGACGCCATCATCCTCATCATCAATGTCATCATCTTCATCATCCTCATCGTATTCATCAACATCATCTTCTTCCTCATCATCTTCATCATCATCATAATCTTCACAAAATTCACCACTGTCACCATTGTCATCCCACACCTCACCCACCTGAAACATATGCTCCAATGCATGATGTATGCTCTTGAATGTCGGCCGATCTGCCGCATTCCAATGCCAACACTGACGCATCAAATCGTAAACTTCCGGCGGGCAACCTGGCGGCCGCTCCATGCGATAGCCCTTCTCAAGCTTATGAAATACATCGGTGAGATCAATATTGGGATATGGTGAAGCGCCATAGGTGGCGATTTCCCACAGCAAAACGCCAAATGCCCAAACATCCGATTTTGTGCTGAACTTATTGTACGCCAGACCCTCCGGAGCGGTCCACTTGATGGGAAATTTGGCGCCAGCATGCGCTGTATACGTGTCATCGCGCATAAGGCGCGCCAACCCAAAATCGGCAACTTTCACAAGTTTATTATCGCCCACAAGACAGTTGCGCGCCGCCAAGTCGCGATGTATGTAATTACGCGATTCCAGATAGCTCATGCCGGATGCAATCTGTGTGGCCATATAAAGCAATGCCACAGCGTCCAAAGTTTCGCGAGCAGGCGAGCGCAGAAAATCCAAAAGATTGCCGTGCGACATGAATTCGGTGATGATGTAAAAGGGTGGCTCGCGCGTGCAAACGCCTAGCGAAAATATAATAAAAAAAAGATATGTAATTATAAATGCAAGGCACAACAATCTTAGTAGCACTCTCAATTTCTTTACTCACCAATTAGTTGCACCAAATTTGGATGCTTCATCTCTTTCATAATAGCCGCCTCTTCGAGGAAGTCCTTGAGTGCCATTGTATCCTCCTTGAGCGTTTTCACAGCCACAGTATTGCCGTAACGCTTCCAAACAGCCTCGTACACTTCACCGTACTGGCCGCCGCCCAACTTATGCTTCATCACAATGTCCGTACGGCAGATTTCCCACTCGTCCGGTTCGGGACTGAGTGGGAAAACGGTCGGTTTATTTTGTTTGGGCGCCGGGTAAAGCAATGGCGTAATCAACCCGTGCCCTTCATGTTGTACACTATGATGATGCACAAGTTCGGCGAGTGTATTAAATTTAGCTTCCGCTGTGACAAAAACTTTACCATCCGGATCCTCGGAGATGCGATAGTGATATACACGCCCTTCGTATCTGCGCATAGAAAAAACCCAAAATAGAGAGTGATATAATTAAATTTCCTTATTTACTTTATTATGGCTTTCAAATATGTATACATATATGTGTGTATTAACATTCGCCCAAAACGTGCATACCTCAAACTGATGCTCCTTTGGCCTGGCGAACTTTCACTTTCGCGCACCAAGAAACTACCATTGATGCCTGAGCTGAGCAAATATTCGGCTGCATTGCGCGATATGGGTCCATGATACCAAGAGTGTTTCTCCAGCGAGTTAAGTGGCGTCACATAGTTCGATGGTACCCAACCGACATTGCCGGAATCTGAGTGTGCCTCACACCATTCGCCCGATTTGTTGTACGATAAAATACGCACCTGTTCTCCCTTCTTCAGACTTAATTGATTCTCACCACCAGCTTGAAAGTCATATAATGCTACAAATAATTGTGGATCGTCCTCTTCGGGGCCGGGTGCTAGCAGATTTTCTTTGGATGTCCAACGATGTGCTGACTCAAAGCCAGATGTGGCTGAGCTGTGGCCTTGACTGTGGCTTTGTGTGTGCAGCGAAGCGCCATCCTGGCCGGGCAACTCTGCGTCAGCCAGCAATGTTGTGCCGGCAGGAATGTGTGGCAGCGGGCGAGATTGTCGTAGCGCTTCTGTAAATAGCAAAAAAAAAAAAAAATGGAAGGGAGAAAATGTTGTAAATAACTGTATTTTAGTTAGCTAGTGTGAGTTACTTGATAATGGGTTAGTAATTTGGATGATGCGATGCGATTAAAGTAGAAATGTTAACCTTTATTTCAAATATTTGTATAGAAAATTTAAGAATGACCAGTTGATGGAATTTGAGTAGAAATCGAAGTATGAAAGAACAACGAACATGTATTTGGCTGCTTGAAGGACCGGCATCTAACGGGTGATTTTTTTGAGGTTAGGATTTTCATGCATTAGTATTTGACAGATCACGTGGGATTTCAGACATGGTGTCAAAGAGAAAGATGCTCAGTATGCTTTGACATTTCATCATGAATAGACTTACTAACGAGCAACGCNGGTATCAAGCTCTTAAAAAATCACCCGTTAATTGCAGGCAGATTAATCAATTACCGAAAGTGAAGTCTGTTTTGAGTTTGCCTGAAACGCCGCGTCATTGGTATATGTAGTATGTTAGGGCGGGTCAATTATTTTGACTATGCGCGTTTAACATAAGAGGATTCTAGGCGTAATTCTAAGCAAATTTGCCGAAGAAACAATGGGTCTAAAAACAGTTTTGAGCTTGCCAAGTTGCAAAAATTGGTTTCGAAAAAAAATTTTAAAATTTTCATTGCTGCGCCCTCTGGTAGAAGTTTTAATAAAAAGGAAAGTGCAGAAATGAATTATTCATATCAACAACCGCTTATAGCATCATTTTATACAAAATCTAAGCACTTCTTTACGACGCTACAACAAAATGCTAAGAAACCTAATTTCGCAATTTGGCAAACTGCAAATTGATTTTAGACCCATGGTTTCTTCGGCAAATCTGCTTAGAATTGCACGTAGAATCCTTCAGAGATATACGCGCATAGTCGAAAAAATCACCCATACAAATTGACCCGCCCTAATGTATGTATGTACTTTATAAAATTTCGCCCATCGAGTGTTTCTTATGCATAAGAAGTTGAAAGTACCTATTTCATCACATTATTTAATCAATTTCAATGATGTTGCAATCAACACACATATTTATTGTATATCGTTCCACATCATCCAACGATATGCTCCATTTGTCCAACATTAAAACTAAATACATATATCAGAGCAATACTTTTAATTTAAAAGGGGATGGGCGGACAGATGTTGCATACCCATTTGACTCATACGAATGTAAATTAATGCCTGCTCAAGGATACCCAATAGGAACTTCGACCATTCATACTACTAACACATTTATATAAAGAGAACTAAACAGATATATCTACATATCGCCAACTGAAATGCAAAAAGTGGTAACAAACATCGTCGCTAAAATGCAAAAAGTCGTAGGTAATAAAGATTTAAAATTTCAATTTTATTGTTATCGTTATTTATAGTTACAAAGCAAAATCGCAGGTTTCCAGAGTTTTAAAGAATTACCAGTTTTGATATCACTATCGCAAGTGATTTTTTTTGTAGATGCCTATCTATAGGTACTTGATGATTTATCAATATTTTTATAGTAATTTATCGATATTTTTTTGTGATTTATCGGTAGCTTTTTCGTTATTTGTCGATAGTGGTATCGTTATTTGTCGACAGTTGTATAGTTAAATATTATCTTTTATATTATAGCTTAAGTTACTGTTTTTCTTTTTTTACAAGAAATGAAATCGTCTTTTTCCAAAAATGCCGCTAGAAAATTTGGTAGGAGGAAATAAAACAATACCTACTTTATTTTGGAACGAATTTCTGTTATCCCTAATCAAGTTTGCTTTGGAGACAAGCCGGTTTCGGTTTCTTTCCGCCCTGTCGGAAAAATCAACCAACACCAACAAATAGAACAATCTTTGGTTTTAATAAATAATTTCGATAACGAGCGCTTTTCGCGGACGTAGCGAACATCGAAAATGAATTAGAAAAGAATTAGGATTAGGAAGGTAATAAGGATTGGGATGCGTTTTGCGATTCCGTTCACTTGAATGAAGTCGTAGTTTACTTTCAAATTAATCCGTCAAAGACAAAAAAAGTGAGGTCATGGCAATTGGAACGGGTCGTTGTTGGTATCTATCGTCCGTGTTGCTTATGCATAATTTAGTCACAGAAATAAAATCACGATGCCAAGTTACACGATTGAGCAGCAAATCCAAATTATAAAACTTGATTGTAAAAATGAGTAGTCCCTAGTTTAAACAGACTAGACCAACAGACCAGTTGCGCCAATTTCACGCTTCCAGCAGTGAAGTCTTCTCATAGAAACCTTTAACCGATTCCTCTATCCTTTTATGTAATAAATTCAAGCCATACAGGGGAAAAGAAGCTCAGACAAACACTTCATGCGTATTACTAGTGAATAAAGTGTGGGTAGTTTGTGACCATCAGTAGTACTAAGATTTCTAAATAAACACCAACTTGTCTGAAATAAAGAAGAAACGTGAACTGGTGCACAAACTAAGCACCAATCCGATTCCCTGCTGGGTCTTAAAGCCTGTGATGACAGCAAGTTTAACTTCATGGTCGAGGCTAAACGTGGCAGCCCACATTCATTTGTAGGCACATATGTTTGTATGTATGCATGTACATACTCTGCAATAAGAAGCTTATACATATATGGCGGCCAATTTTCCGAAAAGCATCAGTACCTTACCGGTTAAAATTTGACATTTGTTTGCATCGAAAATGTAAGCTTGCGACCAGTTCCCAAGGAATCCTTCTAGAGATAGACAAAAGGCGAGACTCTCACAGATTTGTACCAACAGAGTGGTGTTGTCTAGAAATTTTTATCGATAGTGAGTTCAGCTTAATAAAAAATTTCTAAACAACACCACTCTGTGTTTGTCAAAATTTAAAAATGCACCAAACGCTCAAAGTGAACATTTGAAAACGCCGTGGCTGTAGCCGAGTGCGCAGAGATGCTTGCTACTATTAGTGGTACTGTCAGGAGTGTCCGAGTTCTAATCCCATTAACGGAACATACAATTTAAAATTTTCTGTTGGGTTTTTCTAATTACGAAAAAGCATCCGTGAAGTACCCAACGAAATCGTATTCATACGAGAAAATCTTCAAGTATATTTAAATGGACTAGTACAAACCAGATAATAAAGAACAATTAACCACTATAGGATATCTTATGGTGAGTTGTTGGACCGGTGCTTTTCCAATGGCACGCCAATGTTAAAAATGATAGTTGTAACCATTGGCTGGGGAATTATGAGGGACTAGTACTGGTAACAAAATGATTATCTGAGGGCTAACCTAGGGTGAGTCCGAATTACTGCAGGGTATGTATACATACATATGCACATGTATGCACACACATAGTAGTAAACAGTTAGTTAGTTTGGCCAGAAAGGGTGCCACATTGACCTCAAGTGAGAATCGGATCACACACGCAATACCAACTAGTATAGTTAATACTAACAAACATTTTGAAACATGGTATTTGAAAACGGGTGAATATTTTTCAATTTTCAAGCAGTCGCTAAAATGTGAATGTAATCACTCCACAGGTTGTGCATGTCGAGAAGCCAAACTGCTGTGGCACGAATACAACTTCAAAAGAACACATGACCTCTTCTTAAAGCCTAGAACGGCAGTTGCGCTATATCGTTTTTTTTTAAATCGAATTTTATACGATAATATGTCCACTTAAATATGTGTCCGTGATAAGCGCTTCGCTTGTGATGAAACTGACAGATCGCCTGCCATGGATGAACGCTAATTGTGACAGGAAGTTAGTTGTTGTTTTTTCGTCACAAGTGTCCCAATTCTCGCAAGTTTTTTTTAGGCGCTTTTGGCAAGTATTATTTAGTAAGTATTATTTGTACTGTGATATTTTGAAAATGTTCGAAGTAATTAACTGTCACAGAGGCCCATAAAATCTAGCCAGCGACTCTCTCGGTTGATATACAAACATACTAACCGAAAGCTGCTAAAAAATAAGGCAACAAACAGTCAAAATCATTGCTTTTTCCCCCGAGTACAATGATCGTATAAAAACCTTACTAACTACATACATTGCAGAAGTAAATAAGCAAACTTGTTTTGAGAGAAGTCAAAGAAAGAGCGCAGACACACCAGACAATTGTACTTTCAAAAGTCACTTGAATTTATGAGTTCTTACTTAAGAATTTAAGGCAAAGAAAGGAAAAAAACTAACAAAAACGTAACCGGCGCATTTTGTTATGCGAGCGGTGGGCAAGTAAGTTCTAGTGCTGGTTTGTTGTCTAAATTCGACGCATAAAAGGGCTTTCGAGAGCTAAGGAGCATGGAATGACAACAGTCACCTGAGCAAGTACTCGTATCAAATAACAATACAAAGGGAAACAATTGACTGCCGTCGTCGGAACGGATGAGAACTGGAATTTTACAGGCAATTTATGTATCGCAAAGTATTTATGCAGGAATTCTTCAATAAACGTAGTGGCAAGATGTATGAATGTACATTAGGGTGGTCCAAAACTGCATGTGAAAAAAGTTAAGTCCGAATTTTAGTGCTCTCACCCCCCTATTATTGATTGTTTGCTACAATCAGACTTAAACAGCATGGCTTACTGGTGGTTATGCCTCTAAATCTAAAGAAATGTAAAGTAATGTGCTTCTCGCGAAGAGCTGTTCTGCCAGTTTCTTATATAATAGGTAACCATAACCTGGTACATTTTGTGGACCTTGGTATCACAATGGATCCTAAGCTTAATATTAATCTTCACATTAATGTGACAGTCAACAAGGCTAAAGGTGTACTTGCATTTGTGAAACGATGGTCAAAAGAATTTAGTGACCCTTATATCACTAAAACCCTGTTTACAACATTAGTTAGGCCGATTCTGGAATACGGCTCGGTGGTTTGGAATCCAAGGTATCAAATTTACTCAGACAAGATAGAATCAATTCAAAAACAATTCCTACTTTTTGCTTTAAGAAATTTCCGATGGGATTCTCAATATAGTCTTCCACCTTATACGAGTCGCTTAAAACTTA